ACACATGTGGAGATGAATGAATAGTATCTGCTTTCTGAAGGTGAATGAAGGTGCCTTTGTGTCTGCGAGTGTGTGTGCACAAACTTCTCTTGCCTTGATGAGACATGTGTTTAGACTGATGGGTGGCCCCTGGTTGATGAGCGGGTCCTGGGACTCTTTGAGGGAGAAGCTCTGCTCAGCGAGAGACCTGGACGGCCTGAACTCCTCTCTCCACCACCACAGGGCCATTCCCACAAGCAGCACACTGAGAAACACTGGGACACACACACACACTTTCTGAAGCCTCTGCAGACATGAAATAATGAAGTTGACCTCAACTTTCTTCTACCCCCCTGTATGTATGTGTTTTGACTCTTTGTTTCTTACTGATAAGAGAGAGGATTCCTGCAAATGTAGGATCTGATAAAGTCGATGCAGGTACTGTGCGAGAAATGGCAGGAATTTCACAAGATTTGTTGTGTTCCATTTCTGTAGGAGAGCAGCTGAACAGTGGACTCTCAGGCTGCAAGTCGACCATGCACTCGTTCTGGCATACCATCCTGGTATGTCCGCATACAGATGGCCCTAAGAACCAGGTAAATGAGAGGAATTAATGACTGCAAGCTGACGTTACTACTCGAATATCATAGCTGCAGCAGCACCTTCTGAACCCCTGGCCTTGAAAACACAAATCTCTCCGCTCCTTACAGACATACAGTATACAGTATATATTGGTCATACCGTTTGGCTGAAGAACAGGCTGAATGATGGCCACGCCACCCGGGGATGTGGCGTTTGACAGCAGTACTTGGAAGTACTTGCCGTTGTGTTTGTTGGCTCGGCAGATGGATCGCGTCACTTCTTCACTCCAATACACAAAACCCTGTAGGAGAATGGGCAAAGTTAGCAGAACTGGATTTCAGTGTAAAAATCGGAGAAATTACTTTTATTATAACTCGAATTTTGTATTAAAAAAGGTGGTAACCAGTTTTTTATATTCTTATTATATTTATATTGAAAGTCATTTTGCAGTCACAGTGAACTTTAAGGCAAAAGTGTCACCAATTTAGTGTCTAACCAATTGTAAAATATGGTCATCAATTCTTTAGTTTTTGGCCCAAAATGTGCTTTGTAAGGTCACAGTGACCTTGACTTTTCCCCAAAAACCTTTCTGGTGTGGGTGTTGAGCTCTTTGCTTTGTTACTTTACAGTCTTCAACAATCATAATTATTTTATTTTTTTTCTCAAGTGGATGGGTGACTAAAACCTGTCCCAAGATGCGTTGTGGTCAAAGACATGGGTACACACCAGTCTCCATTCCATCATAGGGCTGTAACGTGGTTGTTTTACCTCAAACACAGCCAGTCCAAAGGGCCGGTCCAGATAACCGTTAGACTCTACCACTGTTTTACGGTGACGTCCCTCTAGATTTACTCTGGAGATGGTTCTCATTCCCTGGTCAACCCAGTACAGCAGCTGGCGAGGCATATCTAAATTAAAAAATTCACATAAAACATGACTCGCACTGTGAGGACCTCTGACTTCTGCTGGAAGCAGACAGACAGGCAGACAGACAGTTCCTGTTGTAAAAGGGAAGATTTGGGTTGCTCCCATTCTTTCAAACTTCTCTAAACAATTTACATAGATTTGTAATAAGGTAAATGCAGTTTAGCACTTTAACAGAGAACCCAAAGTCACTGTCCAATTATCTGTGTGAAATTTTGAAACTTACCCAGAGAGAGAGCGACAGGATGGCGAACTGAGGAAGTGACAAGAGCCACCCTGTCTCGACCGTCCAAGCTAGCCCGCTCAATCTTTGAGGAGACGCCACACTGAGTCCAGAAGAGAAGCCTGAGAAAACACATTTTGTGAAACGCCTGTATTGCACCTTTTTCTATTAAATGCACTATATCAAAGATGTTGTTGTAGTTGTTACTAAAGGGTATCAGAAGTGCTGTGCTTTAGAAACTTTATAAGAACATTATGGGAAAGTTATTCAGACAGCGTTTCTTTCTCCAAGTTGGCAAACAATAGTGCTTTAACACATAACATAATTTAACACAATATTTTACAATATTTACAATACAAATTAAGTGAAAACTCAAACTAACCTAAATCTAAAATGTGGTTAAACCTAAATGTATTTAAGTTAACAAAAAGGCAGGTAGTATTTGAATCTAAAACAAGCAGCTCTTTTACCCTTGACTCATGAGACGCATGAACAGCTCTCCCTAGGATGCAGCTGTCATCTGTAAATGTTTGTATTTCTATTTATGCTATACACTGCCCCTCCCTGAGTAAAATCAAGTGTGTAATCATGTCTTGTGGATAGTCCGGTGTTCTGTTTGCTCATAAAAACATGGTGAAAGACAAACTGTAATTTGAAGATCATGACGCAACAAAATTTCACCATAGCTAAATATTTGAAGCAGTTGCTCTGGTGGCACGAGTACGATAAACTTCCGTGATGATGCTTTCAGCTATGAATTGAGGAAGAGTAAAGGCCCTCGTACCCTTGAAGAGGATCCACAGCCACTGCAGAGGGTTTGTCCAGTCCTGTGATAAGCCGCCGCTGAGCCGAACCGTCCAGCAGGCCGACATTAACAGAACCGCTCTCCATACTGGACCAGTAGAAGAGCTGGTGGATCCAGTCTACAGCCAGGCCTGACACTGAACCTTGCACTTTCATCACCAACACTGAATCCTGTGGATTTCCATCCATGGAGACCCTGACAAACATACAGGGAACATTTATATTCAATAAAACAAACATGGTGTTTATTTAAAGTCCTGTTCTACCTAATCCATCGAAATCCTGACTATGACAATGTACGACTTCGTCCCTCAATGAGTTCTTTCTTCTCATTATGGATTGTGGACTGTAGACCATTTTTGCTGTTAGCCATGCCAGCGGCTTGTCTCTGGGGATAGCAATGTCGGACAATCGGTCCATCACTTTGTTGCAGACAATCAATTACTGGACATTTTCTACAGATATGCAATAGTCCCCAGAATTAAGTGATTTCCCCCTCTTTGTCACCTTGAGGCTGACATTTTTGGCTTTGATTTAAATAATCGCAACAACTATTGAATTGATTGGCACAAATTTTGGTACAAACATTTATAACTTATAACAATAATAATGCATATCCTGGGTGACCTTCAACTAGCAGCATTATCAGGTAGAGATTTTAATTTGTCCAACACTTATGACTCATTTTTGTCTTTGGTTAAACTGTAGTTTTTTTTGTGAAGTCATTGAGGACAAATGAGAGCCAAAGAATGTCAACATTTTTAGCGTTTCATTTCCTTTTATTAGACAGAATAGAAAAAGGTTTTGCAATCGCATGCAACAGCAGATGGTGCCTCTTCTTCTGCCTTTAAACACAAAAAAAACTCAATTATTTTCACTTCCCTATTTTTTTGTTTTTGTGCACCAAATGTCACGCTTTCATATGCTTTGTTTCCTTCTTTTCAAATTCAAAAATGTTCTCTCATCACTTCAATTCAGAAGATGTGTCCTGGAATAAAGTAAACTTACACAGACAGGAACCATTAGAGAACTCAGACAACAGACAACTTCCTGTCTGTACATCTGTTATATTAATTAGTTGGTTAAACTGTTAAAAGACTTCTAGTTTCTTAAAATTTTGTCAGCAGATACAATGAGAATGTTGTTTCATGTACATAACCCATCAAACACTTATCACTGAACAATCAGCAGCCACATATAAAGGGTACAATAAAGCACAAAGAAGCAGTAGCAAGGGCTCTTAACACAGATAAGGAACAATAGAGGGACGAGTGAAATTTTAGATCTTCTACTGTTTAATTCGTCATCAAATGAAATTTGATCAGTTGGTGACTTGGTGTCAAACTTTAACTATGTCATCAACAGCTCATTGGCAATTCCCTGTTTAACCTTTTTAGAACAGGTCACAAGGTAATGTTTACTGACTGAAACAAAAGCATTGTTGTTAGCCAGTTGGAACTTACTCAGCATACAGGAGAAGAGCAGAGAAGAGAGCAGAGAAGAGCTGCAGGAGCGATTCAAGACTTTTCTACGACTGTTGTGACACATTTTTCCTGCTGTTAAAAAAGTGGAATTGATTGTAAGCAACATGTTTGCTAACTAAACACAGCTACCATGCACTGTCCAACTACAAACCTCTTACAGCCATTCGTGGATATACGTGGTTGATGGTGGTGTCCTTCACAGAGCGGCTGCTCCACAGTAGTGCATTAAATCTGAGTCAGCATTATTGGCTGACTATGAGTTTGAAAATGAAAAAAGTCTGGGTGTGTGGAGTTAGAAAGACTGTCAGTCGGTCCGTCGCTCTCAAAAAAATAAAACTGAATTGAATTATTTTCCTATTTGATCCAGGAATGAAAATGATACGTCACGCTGGTAAACTCAACTCAGTAACATAAACCAGGAGGACAAACAAAGAAGAAGAAAAACTGGTTGTCTGCCATCAGTAAAATAATGACATGAGATTGATAACTGTATTCTAACTCAATATTTGCTCAGAGATCTTTTAAGTCGACAAAGTCAACTACAATGGAATTTTTTAAATAATACAGACTTGTGTCTCTGATCCGGAGGTGTCTGATGCTGTTTACTCTTCAAGCTTTGACAGCTTTCAGACTGTCAATAGAGGACAGGTGACAAAAAATGTATAATAAGCAAATAATAGGTTCCTTAAAGCTACTATAAATCAATATTTACTATATATTATCAATGGATCGGTGTAATGTAAAAGGGGTCACTCAGTGAGTTATGACCTAACACTGGAGGTCCCCTCAGCTATTAAGAGCTTAATAGTGGCTTTAAGCTCACTGTTTTGGTTGCATTACCCACAATTTACTGTCTTAAACATAAAAACATAAAAAGTGGGTGACTTGCTAACTTAACTGATAGAGACAGATATTTCTACTTCTTTTCCCTTTTAGTGAATATTGGACCTAATAAGGTAGACAGAACACAAATAAATCCTAATGTTGCTTTGTGTCTGCTGGAGATTTTGCTGCATGAACTTTTTAATGTTTACAGCTTGTTAAAGCTGTCAAGTGTCCAAAAATAAGCTTACCAGACCTCTTTAGCCCCACTAAAATCATAACTTGTATCACAATCACAATATATGTCAAACCATTGCAATGTGATTAAATAAATACCCCATGTCTGACAATTATTAATAAGCTGGATAAAGGTTGGGAAAAGGATATGTGGGTTATCTTGCTTATCCCTGCAGCGACATAGACCCAGACCCAGATGAGTGATGGAAAACGGATAAATGGGACTATCAATTTGTTTATATTTGGATCACAGATTGTGCTTCAACAGGAGTTGCAACTGTCATTCCCCTCACGCATTGCTTTGGGAGCTAATATAGAACCATGTGTAAGTGGTTGCAGCAGCTACAGCTCCATTTTGTTACCTGTATATGGAGCCTCGTCCCTGCCGGGCCCAGTACAGTGTTCGGTTAGAGGCCAAGGCTGCCACTGGCCCTGGTCCTGGTAGATACGGAGCCAGTTCAGTGTACTCAGTGCCAGTGATGCTTAACCACTGTAGTCCTTTGGAAGAGGTAAAAACCAGCTGAGCCTCATCTCCTGAAAGGACACACAAATTCAATTCAAAGTCCTGCTCGTTTTGTGCCCTTTTATGACTTTTGCTGACATGTTTGAGTAAAAGCTTCTTTTTTTGTTTGGGGAGGGGGGGCTAGAAGGGAACTATAGAATTAGTTCTAGGGTGGTTGTCATGTTGAAATGTTTTTTCTGGTGACTTAAAGAACTTTACTATAACTAAACAACCACCTGAGCCACAGTCGCCCCTAAAATTTCAGAAAATCTCATACTAAATAGGCTGAAACAATACAAATGGATATGACGTGACAACACTCAATACTATTGTGGATAACAGTACCTGAGTATTATCTTACCAGTAATGGAAACAGTCTACGTAATCAAGTATGGTCAAATTTGAAAACATGCATTATAATTTCTGCATACATTTAACACACTGGCTCTGTGAGCATCACATCATACTTTGTGGCACTAATCCTGATAAAGATCTATTTCTTCACTGTCAGTTCCTTCATTGTCAAAGGAGTTCTCCCATCAAGCTGCACATCCACATTCCCAACTGCAATACATTCCTCTTCTGTGGCAGAGACAATGCTTGTAACTGCACTGATTTATAGGCTGGGGGACAAGAAACGCCGTCCACCATGTGGCAACCACAACTGACAGAAGGGCACAACTGAGGATAGGACACTAGTGTAAGGTCAGCGGTAATGTCTATTGAAGTACATGACATGGTTAAGCTACGAGTAAATTTTTTTAAATGCAGTTGCAAGAACAATATTTTCAACTCCTATCTTAAGGATGTTTAATTTAAAAAAGAAATTATAACTATTCTTTTTTTTCTCATTTTGTTTTGAGTGTTTTGTTTAACTGATTGTTGTTTGGGGTGCCTTAGAGTTAATGGAGAGCTGTTTTTCTTCATCCGTAACCATCATCTTTGCTTTGCACAGCAGTAGGTTTTATATTTATTTATTCTAGAAAACACATAAGGGGCTAAATATTAATACTAGATACTATCAGTTTTAGTTATAGTTTTAGTTTTATCAGTTAACAACTGTAAAATGAGAGAAGCCCAGCCTGCCAGCCACATCAGTGTTTAATAACACATCAACAGACAGGAGTACAAGGCACCACACTCAGGTAAAAAGTTGGTGTTATCAGTGGGAGTGTGCAAAAGTTCAAGTTCATTGTTTTGGTCTAAGTACCATATTTCAAAAGTTAAAATACAATAAAATAAAATAAACACACACCCAAACTGACTGCAATTATTTGCTAATACAATGGAAAGGACGTCACAAAATAGCAGATCACAATAGAAATGATACACTACTGAAAACAACTGGGGCTTGTTCAATAAAGGTATGTCTCCAGTAAGCAGATGGATGTCAGCTAATATGTTTGTACAGCCATATTCACCTTTACAGTTTAAATGAGTCAAAGTTCCCAGGGTGGGACTACAAACAAGTCTATAAACCTACCACATGTTATTGATAACGTACAAATATCGGGTGCAAACATGTATTCTCAGTGTGTTCTTGTGCAATACCATAACTGTGTGTATTTCTCGTGGGGCATGCACCAAGCCTTTCACCATGCGCTCTATTCATTGTATTGAGAAGGACATTAGAGACACATGCAGTGAAAATGGTTTCAATAATGTAAAAATTTGACGTAGTTATTAAACCACATGGACTGTCTACATTGAGTGGTTTAAGTCAATTAGGTGCTGTGACTTTAGGTGGCAGTGAGCTAGTTGAGGGGGAAGTGCAGAGTTGGCTCATTGGGTTCAGCCATTGACCCATTGTTAATATAGAAATACTGATTAGTGCAGCTTTAAAGAAACTGGAGACTGTAAATATCACGTTGGTGTTAAAAATATATGTAAAAATGTCCATTTAAAGCTATTTAATACTTATACTACTGTGCTGCTCACACTGCAATACATTTTTTGTTTTTGTTGTCTACACAGACGACACAACCGATGTCAGACGAGGAGCTTATTCCAGTTTGAGCAAATGATTGTGATAGTCATATACTTAAAACAATTTACATGGATATTACCTCCCTCCTTACCTGCTCTCAGCTTCCTGTTGTGCTCTCACTTAGGGTGCTTTAACTAAGAGAGCATCTAGTTTTTAGTTACGATGGAATCAAATATGTTTGAAAACTGTTGTAGCATCGGAGACAGCTCACAACATGCTGATCCGATGCACAAAGATGCATCTCAGAAATGCTCAAACTAGACATGTCACGATGGTCTTGGGGACCGATTCTGTGCTGATTCAAGGATTTGATTCAAAAATGTGATTCAAAAATGTGTCTGGGACAGGTAAATTGTGAAAAAAAACTATGTAGTCTGCACCGTAGACATAATGTGTCCTGTGCAGACTGCACTCTGCCTCCAGTTCAGTGCATTCTGGAAAAGATGCAGACTCACTTCAGACTTCAGAAAGTGTAAATGTAAATTAGTTCTACCAGCTTGGCAGCAGGCAGTCAATTTTGCTTATCATTAGCCGGATAGAGGATGTAGCTAATCATATTTGCATCAAGTTGAAGTTAAAAGTGAATGTCAAATTAGTGATTGAGCAAGTAGACAGCTTATCCGTTATTGTATTTCCTTTTATTTTATTACTTGGTCACAAGAACTTTGCATAGAAGGCAAATGTTTACCTTTAATCCTTGGACAAATATGATGGAAATGTATACGATATGAATAACAGCCTTATGTACTAGATAAAAAAATAAAAAATAAAGATATGACCAGGAAAGTCTCTGGCGGTACCTTTATGTTGTCGGTGGCTGGTTATCAGTGATCACTGATCACTGTTTCTCACCTTTGGCCTTGCACTCTCCGGTTGTTGGATTCATCTCGTAGTCTTTGTGGCAGCCGCAAGTGACGATGTCATTCTTGTGGACACACAGCTGATCACACACATCGCTTTCCAGGCATGTGTTGACCTCTAGATTAAAGATTGAAAAGGCGTTTCAAGGACGGGGCGCAGCAATGTGGTAAAAATAGTGTACGAGGAAGTCCAGTTCCCACTTTTTCAAAATATATTACGGTAATTTTATGCGATGAGTCAGGACAAATCTTTACAAAAGGAGATGTAGAACTAAATTTATTAGCTGTTATCAAGCTGCTCACCCTCACACTGGCTGTCCCCGACCAGCCTCATGTTGTCGGGGCAGTCGCAGAGGTAACCCATCGGCAGGTCCACGCACCGATGAGAGCAGCCTCCATTATTTACCTGACACTCGTTCTGATCTGCGGAAAAAGAGACGCAACATCATCAGTGGTTTCACACAAGGAAGTACACTGCCATTTGCCGGCATGATAAATGTGAAGCTGTTTTGTTTGTATCCACATACAGAACAACATATACAGCACAACACATACAGGGCTGAGTTAGAGAACTTCCTTTAACTCCCCATAAATGTTGGCGGCTAGTTTTATTGTTCATTAATAATAATAAAAGTGACAATGAACACGGTAAGTAGGAGTGCTGAGGGGGCTGTATCATCACCTAAACTCAGGTATTACTAGGATTTATATGCGTAATGCACAAGTATCTGCGGTAGAACAGAGGTTTAACATTGTTCTTTAGCGGTTGTTTATCATAAATAGTGTATTAGTCGGGAATCTTTTTATTTTAAATCTGTTCCAACTCCAATTAAGGCATGGCAAAGCAGGCGATCTATCACACACCAACACAGTGAGGTGTTTCAGGAAGTTTAGAGTTTCCCACTGATTGTAGTAACCACAGATGTCAGATGACATTTACATAACTTCCTGCAGTTATTAAGTCCACTATTTAGGTTCATTCACAGTTTATCAGGCGTCATCAGTTTACTAAATGAACTTTACTTAAACCCCAACACTGTTTTGGTATGGAATATTTGTATTTATTCATCAATACACATAAAATGCTTTGAAATAACATTCTAATACACTAGTATTAATACACTAGTAGTTTCTTCCATCCAGATGGCTAACAGTGTGTGTTGTTTGTCTGTTATATGTTTTGCATTAGTAAGACTGCGGTTAAATGTATTCTGCCTGTGGTGATCTTAGTCGACAATTCAGGCATTGATCAAACAACATCAATAAAAATATTACTCCACCACCAGTTGAGACTTTAGGCCATTATTACTCAGTTTCAAGCTTAAAATTTGTGTTTAGGAACTATATCTTCTCCACCCACAGGTATTTAATGACACTGCCAGTCAATGATAAGTTTCTAAAAGAAATAGCTGTTTGTCAATATCATCCATCTGCAGCCACAAATGGGCATTCTCGTGCTGGTGGGGGTTCCTGTTTTC